TCGATTTCGTCACTATTCTTGCCCTGGACTAGCACCGTAATCACAAAGTTACTAAACGCTTGTGCTTGATTGAGAGACATTGCATTTGATGCAGAACGTAGTTTTCTTCCTGCTGTGAACACGTCTTATATGAGCAAAATGAGACGTGACAATAAATTTGAGGGATGTATTTTCGCCCACAAAATTGTATTTAATTACAATTGTATTTGAAATACCCACGTTTTAGTATTTAAATACACACGTCAAATACATTACTCAATTTGTAATTAAATACAAATGCAAAATACGCAAAGTATTTGAAATACTGCCCATCCCTGGTCTCCGGATTGGTTGTCTCCGGTTTTGTTTCCGGATTGGTTGTTTCCAGTTTTGTTTCTGAATTGGTTGTCTCCGGTTTAGTTTCCGGGTTCTAGAAATCCTATTTGCCTCCTGTTCCATATGAGTACAGTGCCCTAGAAGTTGGGTAGTGGGCTCAGCGCCCTATCTCCCCCGTGTATTGCGCTGAAGCGGCCGATATCAAAAACGCCGGAGGCGTAGCAGTAGATTCCTCCTAAGCTTCTTCCGCCCACTGCCCGCGATCAATAAAAGCGATAAGAGCCGCCTAGCCGACCTGGTCTGGCCAATGCGCGCTAGAAAGTTTCAGGAGAAAACGCTTACAGCGCCACCGCCGCGTCGACATCAAACGCATCAGGCCGAGCCGTCCCGTGAGCCCACTACAACTGTCTAGGCCACTGTAATATAACTTACTCAAAACTCCGAATTGAATCCGGTTTAATTTCAAACAGATTTTCTTGGTAGCGCTAGCTCCCTTTCCGTAAAAAATAAGGCTAACGAACTTACCAGGGTAAGAAGACGACGACACAAGGCGCACTCGCAACTGAAGTTTTATTTATGGGAAAACATAGTCTTATATACACTTTTAAAAAACACCCACGTCACTTTCCACGTGCCCACTCTTTATCCAAGAATAGGCGCTCTTTTTCTGACAGAGTAACAGAAGGCTCGCTTATGCACTTATCTGCACCCTTCCTTACTGCATACGCCTCATGAATTTCCCTTGTTATCTTTTTGCTGTATCGCCCCAGGATTGCCACGTCATTGAAAACTGGTGTGCACTCACATCGGTTGCAATGCACAGCCAGGTGCCCCGAAGGTGACTGTTTTAAGGAAGCAGCATGCTCTCTAGCGCGATCATTTACACAACGCCCAGTTTGGCCTACGTAAGACCTACCGCAGGAAAGCGGAATATCATACACAACACCGGTGTGACATTCCACGAACTTATTCTGGTGTTTTTTCTTACACTCGTCACTCTTCCCTTCGGGATCATTGATTTTCCTGCATAACGCAGAAAGCTTTTTAGGGGCTGAAAAAACCACACGAACGTCTTAACGTTCCGCCACCTTTTTTTAAGTTATGAGACACTGCCTGAATGTAAGGGATTACAGCAGTTCTTATTTTTTGGCGTTCAAGAACGTTTCTTTCCACACCCCTAAATTTAGGGGTGCGGAAAGAAACGTTCTTGAACGTTAAAAAATAAGAACTGCTGTAATCCCTTACATTCACGCAGTGTCTCATAACTTAAAAAAAGGTGGCGGAACGTTACGACGTTCCTGTCGTTTTTTCAGCCCCTAAAAAGCTTTCTGCGTTATGCAGGAAAATCAATGATCCCGAAGGGAAGAGTGACGAGTGTCCCATTTTTGATCGTGTCTGGTTATTTAAGTCACTCTCTGCATTAGTTCTAAAGAAATATTCCTACCAAATGTATCAGATGTGCACGCCAAGCCCAAACATCATGAAAATTACGAAGAGATTAAATTCGCATGGTGTATTCGAGATAAAAAAAGGTGTGATTTGTCACCGAACTTAAAGTTTTCAAGTCTCACAGCGCAATATGCACAACTGATAGGCCTTTACAGCCTCTGGAGATTGCGGATGACGACAGGAATACCGAAATACCACTCACCACTAAATTCATGTTTCTAGAAGTAATTTCGAAAGCAAAAAGTGCTTACGAAGCTCGTACGAAGCTGGGAGCTGGCTTTACTTGAAGAAAGGATTAAAAGTGCCGTTTGGCGCGGCTCATCTATAAGACAGTGAATGTAAAAATCACATTGGCTGTCACTGGAATTTGTTAGACGTCCAAATATCTATACCGTTTATAGGGCCTCCTCGCGCCCCTCGTTTTACGGGCAACGAGGCTACCAAAGCCAAGTCATGCTGCCACGTGACTCCATGTGAAATCGCAGTCACGTGACACGATGTCAGATTAAAATAACCTGACGTCCTGTAACGTCACTGTTATGTGACCTCCAGTCGCGCCACGTTGTCAGTGAAATCATGACGTCAAACGTCACAGAGTCACGTGACTTTATGGCGTCACGGAAGTCAGGGGATCCTTGACATCACATGAGGCGACACCGTGAAAGCATCATGTCACGCACCATCATCACCTCACGTGACATCATGGCGTCACAGTTCTGGGTCACGTGGTATCATAACGTCACACTGTCACGTGACGTATGATGTCCTATTGCATTACGTGCGTCGCGGTGTCAAATGACGCCGTGGTGTGACGTAAAGTCATGTGAAACTTGAATTCTTATGCATGTATAGCACCCTTGGGATGACTCCATAATGTCAGGTGACCCTGTGACTTCATCCAGCCTACATGCCTCGAACACACGTTGTGGCCCATAAACGCTGTGCGTACGCCCTCACTTGCTCGCGCCCCCTGCTTTGAAACAAACCTTCGTAGAGCAACCGGCTGTCCTGTAAGAGCTCGTTTCAAGCCGCGAACTGTCCCTTGAATTCCACGTGGTGCTCATGAGCTACCGGCGTTGCTTTGACTTTGAATATGATGTATACAATTTGGGATGCCTTGCGGGAAGGTAATTTCATTTCGCACTTATAGGATTACTGCAACGAGGCTTCTTTTTGCTTATTAAAAATATATTTTACCGCACTTTACGATCCATAATTCGGAATTTTGTATAAGTGGCGCTCCGTCCATAAACGGATGTTTTCGCACAAAAACAATTGTTAGTACTTAAGTTGCATTTGCACATTTGTATGGTCGGAGCGGTGAAACTGCGTTGAGAAGCCTGCATACATGTATTGCAATCGCAATATATGTACAAACGAAAGCCATCTTCAACATTGTCGTCAACGAATCGGAGGAGAAATATAACCCCTGCGACAAATGCACGCAGTTCAAAGGATTGGGGCATAAAAATCAAACGGATTGATTCATCTTGACGTGGAATGCCCATATGGTACTTAGTATATACATAAAGATTCACAATTGTTACAGCTCTAGTAATTGCGATAATCAATTTAATAATGTTGATCATTTTCATCTTGCGACCAGGCAATACTGCCCAAGTTAGTCACACCGTGCTGCCCATAAACCACGTGATCGCGATGTGTATACCTGAACGCTCTTTCATTCTACGGGCCCCATGCTGGCCCAAGATTGCCTCGTCATGGTACGATTGCACCTAGATCTCTTACTTCACGGCTACCCCAACGCTACTGTCGGCTCACCCCATGCTCCCTTGATCTTCCAACCAGCATGCACGTACGGGATCGTCGCGGATAACGGCGAGTGTGTTCGTGGTATGCTCTCGTCGTCGCTGGAGCTGGTCGCCAGCGAGTCGAAGTCGACATGACTAGGGGTGCTAAACTCGTCGAATACAAAGTTTGGGCCGAAGTTCACGGAACGCACCGATTGGACGATCCCGACGATGACTTGGCGCTTTTTTCGGCGGCGTCCATTTGGGCGCGCTCCGCTAAATTTGGGCTCCAACTTTGTGTTCGACGAGTTTAGGGCCCTAGCTCCGTGAATCTCTCGATGACAATCACTCTCATCGCTGTTGCGACCAGTGTCGAAGACACCGACGAAGCGAGTGACGCCGTACACTTCGTCTCTAAACCGCGTGCTCGAAACGCGGAAGGTGAACGAGGACGCTGAAGCGAGAGACGCCGAGAGAGTTTTGTCTAAGGGGGGGGGGGGGGGGGGGGGGGGCATGGAAAGGGACGTCGCGGATCTGGCGAGGTGCGTCACCGATTCACCTAGCATGGCGGCCTTCCCGAATGGGGGTCCTGCATAAAAATCAATTCATCCGCAAAACTATCGCCGTCATTACAAAACAAAATTTAGCGAAAATAGAAAAACATACAGTGGGTCCTAACTGTATAGATATTTTATATTTTGTTATTGGCGTGTCCCAACCCTTTTAAAGTCCACACGCTAAGCAAATGAAACGTAAATTAAGCGTACAATTGTATAAAACGCACCAATTAAAAGCTTGAAAAAAAACACACAAAAAAAACGCGACTTATACACTGGAAATTACAGTATATTATATATGGTTTAACTTCCGATTCACGACGCTCAGTTGTGTCCTCCGTCTGAACCCTCCTAGGAACGGCCCATATTTTCTAATGCTCCTGCGTTTTTTCTGGTACCTCCATCAAAAGGGCAGCAAGCCCTCCCGAAATGTCAAATGGTTGTTTGACTGGTTGTGTTTACTTTACGCACCTCTGCCTAAATTTATATGAAACCACTCACAGCCATTAAGGTTTTTACAAGAGCCAGGCAACATAATAGATAATCAGGTTTAATAATTAATACGGAACGGATATTTTAACGCGTCAATTGCATTTTGTTCTTGATTGCCAGGATGTACCGTCTGCATTGTTTTATTTTTTTTTTAGAATTACATACAATCTTTTTTGGTAACAGTTCAATCTCAATACGTCGTTGCGTTTTCAATTATAGATTGTTGTTTTACTAATTAGTTCCTTGCATTTCCGGTTTTTTCTTTTTTTCTCTGATATTGTTTTGTTCAGGAATGGAAACTAGATGCAGGGCCTCATCAGGCTTAGCAATTCTTCCATTTGCCTCCCTACTTAGACAGGTTGACCGAAAAATATTCGTTGAACCGGAACTTTCGTTGAAGCGGGGTTCGACTGTATACCCTTTGCACTCGTTTCAGATGGCTGCATATCACGCTGCTTCGGCCAGAAGGTCTGAAGGAGACGATCTCGCTTTCTTGATGGAGGCAAGACACACTGACGTGGAGTTCCTGGTTGACAATGACTCCGACCCGCCCCAGATCTTCAGGGCTCACAAGGTGCTTCTTGCCATGCGGAACGAGGTCTTCGAAGCCTTGTTTTACGGAAATGATTCCAAAGCGCTTCAGTATCGCGTCAGCGGCCTACGTGCAGATGGATTCTTTACTCTCCTCAAGTAAGAACGATATTAATATTAAGAGTGAAACAACATTGTCATAGGCCACGCCGACATTGCCACTACAACTTAGTGTGGAAACTTCGAGGAGTGGCTCCAACACGCACATCAGAACCGAACTGTATTAGAATGCCTGAATGTCGCTCGCTGGCTGCACCTTGCTAGAGTGGCGACAGCCTTTAGATGGACAAGTGCCGCCTTTTCCTGACTGCAGCCTCCGTTTTGCTTCATGCCTCCTGACTGGCACTAACTAGAAACGCACACTTGACAAGAGGCCTGATTTTGCGGGCTCTCACAGTTCTCACAAATGGTCATGCTCAATACTTTCGTAAACAGTTCAAACAGCTGCATACAAAAGAAGGAAAGATGGCGGCTCCGCTAACAGAGGACAGAGTTGTACTTCACTCTGGAGTGGCCGGCAGCCCAGAAACATTAAGGCATGCCTAGGGTAACTCTATAGGCTCTGCTTGCAGAGCAACACTGTCGCGTTCCTTTTCCTTTCGCCACTAACTCCGAATTAGCGTAGAAGCGGTCACGTGCGCCGAGCTGGATCTAATTTACATGCGGGAAGGCGAACTTTCAGCTCCCTAGTTCCGGGTGGAGAATTTTTCTTGCTTTGTGTTCGCGAAATATACATCCTACACTAAAATCGAACGGACTTGAAGGTTTCTTGGCCATTGAACATTATGTGTAGTCACTGGGTACAGTATAATGGCGTTGCTTTATAAAGCGAACGATGTTTATAAACATAACTTCTGAAGTCTGGGAAGCAAACAACACGGCAGACGATCGGGTTGCTTGCGTCTGCTGCTCTCGCGGAGTGATACGCGACCGGCACATCCGGGCACCTCGGACCAGAAAACAGCGCGCGGCTAGGGCTTGCGAAATGGGGAATACTCCGTTCTAACGAAGGCATAGAGAAACATCAGAGACAAATGACAGGACGACGAAGCACGCGTGGCGTATCGCCGCACTATATCTTCACTGCTCCGCACGCTGCCTAACAGCAACGCTATTCGCGCCCTCAGGGCTCCCGCAGAAGCGACGGTCGCTTCCCGCAGTGCGGCTTGGATCCGGCATGGCCGTCCTGGTAGCGCCATTGCAACTTCCGCTCCGCATGCGGAGCATAAATACAGTCATACCTCGGGAAACTTCTCTCATGAGTGCACTGACTCACCTCAATCACCCTCACCGATCAGGCATGAGGTGAGGGTGAGCGAGTTTGTAAGCCTCGAAACCTCACGAGTTCAAGGTTGAGTAAGAGGCGTGAGGTCGTTGAGTTCATGAGTTCAGTGAGGGGCGTGAGTCCATGTTGTCGGTGAGTTCACAAGTTAAAAAAAAAAGAGACGAAAAGTAGACGAACGATATTAGTACGTTTTGTTTTCAGCAATGCTTGGTTGGTCCTATCAGCTCGTAGCATCGGCTGCACTGTGACTTTAGAAGAACAGTGTACGAGAAGAAAATAAAAAAAATTCGACATTTTTCATATTTTCTAATTAACGCAATGGCGCTGCAAGAAAACGCCAGCACATAATGATTCAAACATTATCACGCACATACTACACTCCGTTCACGATTAAGCTGAGACTAGAAGCTCCGCCTTGAGCGCGAGCTCGCGGGCTTCCGCAGTGCTTTGGTTGCGCGTGCTTGCGCGTTCACACTGGGCAGAAAATTTGCGTTGAAGGCGGAGCTTCTAGTCTCAGCTTAAGGGTGAACGGCAGTATTCACATTTCTGATGGCGTGCTTGAAGTCGTATATCTCTACTGTGTGATGCACGTTAAAGACCCCAGGCTAGTGGTGGTACTGCACTGGCTAAATTTCTCATCTACATCTTAAACCAGTGTCGTGTGTCCTCAAAGGCAGACCGACCTTATAATGTATAAGCACGAACGTGAAATATTTTTCTTTTCTGATGGTGTGCTATGAACCAACTTTTTTTCTTCTTGTGCTGGTTATGTCAAATATTATAGACATAATTTGACATACGGACTTGTACATTATTTCTGTAGCATATTTTTCCCTTCTTCCCTCAGCTACTGGCATGTAACGTGTCTTGAACTGAATATGAAAAACTTTAATGTGGTTAGCGCTTCATAGCACAAGTAATCAGCAAAACGTTTTTTCTTCTTCTATATATTTCCTATTTGCAGCAAGTACAAGCAATCCACTAACACCCTGAAAAACATCCGAATTATGCTTCAAATTTTGCCTGGGACCATTTTTTCCGGCTTTGCGCTTGGGACCATTTTGTCCAAGGTCATTTTGACCGGGACCATTGCGTCCGGGATTATTATGCCGAAAAACATTTTGTCCGAAACCATTTTGTCCGGATCCCGTATGCAGCAAATTCGTCTACGCGCGACACAACTGCAGAACTGTCCCGAAGGGTAAACACATACACACGGCGTCGATTCTTGATAGGTATCCAAGCGTGCGAAGGAAGAGACGCAGCCCTTCGGTGTGCCAAATGTGCTCTGATTACGTCGCGAGACATGCGTTCGACGAGTTGTGCATTTTTGTAGTGTTGCTGCACTTTCGCGAAACATTTCACGCGTTCTCAAATATAACTGCGACCGTTTACACAACGTTTTAAAATACTTCTGTGACTCACGTCGCACAAGCAGAGAAGGTGTTTTCCAGAACGCTGCCGCCCAGCCTATATAGAACGCTCCAGAAGGTCGACTTTCTGTACCTCCAAGATGGCCGCTACGGAACTTCCGGTGGCCGCAATTGCGCTGCAGTGACCAAGAGGGGACACGCGATCACAAATTGTCATAGAGATGAGTGGTTCGTCGGCTAACGTGAGCGAAAAACTCGGTTTGTCTGCAACGAAGCGCTTTTCGCAGAGGAAATAAAACAAGAAAACACCGTACGTCGTCTGTTAAATAAGAGACCAGGAAAAGTGATGATAGTGTGATACAAACTGAGCGCAGCGGCGACGTGAGACCGGACGCGGGCTGAAATTGTGGTCGTCAGCTACTTCTCGGTTAAAGTCATCGACCACTCAACCTTCGTTTACAAATCTCAAGTTAAAAGCCATCGACTGCTAACTGTTCTAAGAACAAGCACATCAGATGCCGCCAGTCCTTTCTGGAGATTTGTGAGTTGGCGAATCCTTCTCATCAATATTTTGCGGGAACGGATAAAAAAATGTTTCATTGCTTGATTACGCGCGAGCTGTGACGTCACGTTGAATCAGCATCCGAGAACGCCCTCGCTCTCATCTTTACCAAAACCGGACACCAGCGGCTTCATGAGCAATCGCCGAGCCTCCTGAGTCCACCCCTACACGTTTGTTCACTTCAAGAACCACAGTGAAAAAAAAAGTCCGGCTCTTCGCGGAGGATTTATAATTTCCCCCTTTATATGGAGAAATAAGATATATGTATGTGCATCCTAGATTAGCTTTGCATCATTTTACCGAGACATTACATATTTCAAGCGCTAAAAGCACTGTTTCAATTCCTTCACAATCAAATCTTGTAGGAGCGCAAAACTTCCTAATTTTTAATCTGAGAACGCGTGTAGCTTCCCAGCATTGCGTACGTTCACGCGGACCAAAAAACGGACGCGTGAACGTCCGTTTTCATTCTTTCCTGGAATGAAAACCACCCTTACGCCCCTTCCCCCAGGTTTTCATTCTCACTGGAATGAAAATCTGGGGGAGAGGTGTAATAAATGCCAAACATTTCGCTAGCTTATTAAAACTAATGCCATTTTGCCTGTATGATTTGTCACGAATGAAAGATAGCCGCCTCGGTGGCTCCGAGACGAGAGGGTCCTCATGTCGCCGGTTCGAATCCCGGCCGAGGTGCCCGCAATCTGACGGACGCTTATTGCGGAGAAGGCGCCGTGTAACCGAAATTTCGGTTGCACGTCAAGAGATCCCCAGGTGGTCGAAATTAATCCTCAGTCGTCCGCTGGGCCAACGACGTGCCAGATGCCCGTCACTGGTTTTGCACGTAAAACCCCCAAATTTGACTTTAGGAATGAAGGATCTCCTCTGCGCCGTCGCTCGATGGCGCGCGGCTCCCAGGATGTGCCATCAACGAATGTAACTAGATCAAATTCAGCTGGCGAGCTTCCTAAAACACCTGGCACCTTTCTGTGGCGCGTCCGCTTGGTGGCGCTCGTTATGCTATCAGTCCGGACTGTGGACTGGAGCAGCGGAACCGGCGAAACGTTGGATGGACATCGCCTGCGGGGGAAGGTGATTCTATATTGGTGTGTATGGTAACCATGCAGTTTAAGCAAACAATTGGCTGCGGAAACAACTGTTGTTGGTTGTCTATAAATTGCGAAAGCATTTGTTATGAGACTCACGACGTACCTCATCTGTGAATACGACGACGCAAATTTCAAGTAAACACTTTATATTATGAAGATTTTACGATGCAAACATTGACGTCAGCGGGACTGCAGCTTCCCACTTTGAAATTGAGTGATTGCTTCGTCTCTGCGTAATCATATAATATTCTGTCTCTGTGTAATTGCCTAATGTTCAAGCTGTTTCGCCACCATCGTTGCAGCTTCGTGTGTGTGCCTTGTCCTGTCTTTGTGTAATCGTTTAATATTCAAGCTGTTTTACTACCATCATTGACCATGTACAGACTCCAGATTTTTTAACGACATCGCGCTAGCGCTGACTGGCGGTATATCGGCGCCTCATTGCGGCGTGAAATAGCAGGTCAACGAGACTACGCGCGTGTGGCACGAGGCACACGTCTAGCCTCGCTGACACTCTGTTTCAGGCCGCGATAAGGCGCTGATTTACCGACCGGTCGGCCTTCTGGAGGCTGTACCTACCAGCTCAAATGTGAATGAGTCATTACTGCTGCTCCGTGTATGCGCGGCTTGGGTTTATCTAGTTGTGCCACTGCCATG